GTTAACTCTGTTTTTTCCTTCACAGATGCTGCCAGACCTGCTGAGCTTTTCCAACAATTTCTGTTTGTTTCCTTCCTATCATATAACCATCCAGATGCCTTTTAGATATTGTAATTGTATTCGCATTCACCACTTCCTCTGGCAGCTCATTCCATACATGCACCACCCTCTGCATGAAAAAGTTGTCCCTTAAGTCCCTTTTATTTATTTCTCCTCTGACCTTAAACCTATGCCCTCTAGTTTTGGACTCTTCATATCTATTTAACTTATCCATGGCCCTCATGATTTTATAAACCTCTATAAGGTCATCCACAGCCTCCAACACTCCAAGGAAAATAGCTCCAGCCTATTCAGCCTTTCCCTATAGCTCAAATCCTCCAACCCTGGCAACATCCTGTAAATCTTTTATTAACCCTTTGTAGTTTCACAACATCCTTCCTATAGCAGGGAGACCAGAATTGCACACAGTACTCCAAACATGGCCAAACTAATGTCCTGTACAGCTGCAATATCACCTCCCAACTCCTACAATCAATGGACTGACCAATAAAGGCAAGCATACCAAATGCCTTCTTCACTGCCCTATGTACCTGCAACTCCACTTTCAAGGAACTATGAACCTCCTGCACTCCAAGATCTCTTTGTTCAGCAACATTCCCCAGGACCATACCATTAAGTGTATAAGTCCTGCCCTGATTTGCCTTTCCAAAATGCGGCACCTCTCATTTATCTAAATTAAATTCCATTTGCTACACCTCGGCCTATTGGCCCATATGATCAAGATCCGTTGTGCTCCAATGTAACCTTCTTCACTGTCCACTACATCTCAGATTTTAGTGTCCTCTGCAAACTTACTAACCATGCCTCCTATGTTCACATCCAGATCATTTATATAAATGACAAAAAGCAGTTTTAAAACTAACTTGGATTATATTAAAGATATGAATAAAACATGGCAGTGGCTGCGTAATAAAATAACACTGGAGTTCTTTCTTTTATAATTAAAGGCAAAGCTAGTTTAAAGTAGAAAACATATTGTTTGAACGTCAGTTTATTTACATCATGATATTATACATAAGCATTTACAGAAGCCAAGTGCTGCGAGCTCATAAACTGGACTGATTTAAAGGTCAGGCCAATGTTTAATAAACCAGGTTTTATTTTTATAGCAGCAGCGTGTCCATCTGAATAAACCAAAATGTTCCAACGGGAAATAAACCTTACTCATGCTTCTTAGCATCTGTTTTATGGTTGACTACTTGAGGAAGAAATGAGTAATAGCAGTAAATATGATTATATTTTTCTAACTGAGAAAGATCAGTCAGTAAGTAGCTGTCTGCTACATGGGAAGCTGTACACTAGCATCTCACTCTCAGTGAGAAGACACAGATGCATCAGTCAATATATGGATCTCTCTTAGGAAATGATTAGTTAATTCCAGTCAGTGTGCAAACATCCTTGAAAATGAATAGACTGAAGAGCATAATATTGTATTAATATATCTTCCAAAGGGAAATATTGAGAGACATCAGTCATTGTACATGTATAAACAAGAAATATGTGAAAAATACCAGTTAGTGTAGAGATATCCTCTGAGATAGATGTGAGAGACTGAGCGACATTCGTTCGTGTATTAGGAAATCTCTTTACAAAACTAGAATTGTGTATGACTAATCATGAGTTGCAAGGCAATGTAATTTTAGGTTTCAGACTATTTCATAAACAGTACAAAAATCTGTTATTCATCAATCATACATAAAGCTATTAATTAAATTTTGTTACATTAAGTTAACTTTACATTGCATATACTGCAGCATTAATGAACTGAAATCCACAATGATAAGTAAAGCTGAAATACTATAAACTGAGGAAACTGATGTTAAACTGCTGAGTTAATTTAGAAGGAAGCATGAAAAAATTAATCTCCATTCTAAAGAAAAATTGTGAAATACTTAGACTTGAAATTTCACAGTGTGGCCAATGACTCCTGCACTGAACACAGTGCCTTCCTCCTAGTCCACTTCTGCACTTGACGCCCTCTAAGCTTGTTCCAGTTTCACCCTACCAGACACCTGGGGAATCCCAGCACCCCAGAATGAAAACCATAACTTTGGGGCCACTTTTTCCCTGGTCAGGTTTGCAAAGCTGCGAAGTGTTCCAACTCTGCACTCCTGACCCAATAAAGAAAACCCAGGACTAAGCATTTTATCAAGGAGTTCAAAATTAGGTGTCACCAAAGATGGTCATCAACTATTTCAATAAGGAAGTCAGGGGAACATGCTCTACCAGAGAGTGACTAGAATGCTGCAATTAAAATCACAAACAATAGTTGGGACAAATAGGAATTAATGGGAAGTGAAATCCCTATCAGGATCAGGATTTAATGATAGGGTTGTATGAAGTACGTCAAGGAGGATTGCTTAAAATATAAACTATAAATATATATCTATTTAGGTTGGATAGATTGTTTCTGTTGCAAAATTTACACAGTTTTATGTATGTAATTAAGACCCTAGATCAGATTAAGTTCAGAATCATATAACATTTCCAAAAATAATGGATTTTGTTTTTAAAAGTGGGCTAACTGAGCAGCTGTTTAAATGTTCTCATAACTGTTGAATGAAGAGGCCATGTCGTAAAATGGATATTATTAAACTCCAATTGCCTGGCATTAATGACTGATGACATATTTTGCCAGAACAAATCTTGTTTGTAATTTGTTTTATCAGTCCATAAACACTTCCATTAGAAATATTCAACATACATGTGTGAGAGATTGCCCAAATTCTTAAACATTCGGTTCTGAATGTTGAAGATGTTGATCCCTTCCAAGTCTCTGAAAAATAAAGAAGTTAGGAGCCATTATTATAAAATCTGACAAAAATTCCAAAAAGCCAAGTGCTGAGCTAACTTCAGCTATTTAGACCAATCTTGGGCACCTAATTTTCGGCTTGATGCCAAGGTAATGAAAAGGACAGGAAGAAAATCACTGAGGTGAAACCTTGAATATGAAGAATTTGAACGATAAAGGTAAGAAGAAGGTCATGTATAGATATTGAAACATTGTAAGAGTCTTCAATAAGTCAGTGTTACAGAAAATATTCACCCTGGCTGGCCAGAAAGAGGGCATAAGTTGACAACAGTGGCCAGAAGAATATCTAACAAGGACTTTTCTTTTAGAAGGTTGATAGAACGTGAAATGCTCGACCAAAAAGAATAGTGCAAAGTAAAATAGCTATTGGAGAGAAACAGACAATATTTGAATGGATGGGTGCAGCTCCAACAACACTGAAGAAGCTTCACACCATTCAGGACAAAATAGCCCACTTTATTGGCATCACGTTCAACATGCACTCCCTCCACACCCAACACTCAGTAGCAGCAATGTGTACTATCTACAAGATGCACTGTGGAAATTCACCAGAGATCCATAGACAGCACCTTCCAGGCCATATCCAATTATGTCTAGAATGATAAAGTCAAAATTCACATGACACCAAGTTATAGCCCAACAGGTTTATTTAAAAACACTAGCTTTCGGATCGTTGCTCCTTCCTCAGGTGTAGTGGGAGACGGGGTATCAAGATACAGAATTTAGAAGTAAAAGATCATACACACAGTCTCTCTCACACGCACACACATACTCACATACACACTGACACTCTCTCACACATATATCCCTCACACTGACGCACATATGCACACACACATGCTCACACACTAATACATGAACACTGTCTCACACACATATACTCTCCCACACACTCTCTCTGAAGCACACGCATGCACACACACATACGTACTCCCTCACACACACACTCTCTCTCCCAAACACACAGACACAAAGACACAGACAGACACACACGTACACACACACACACACACATAGATCTATGGGGTGAATTTGTACTTAAAGATACCTTCTATTTTGTTCAAAAAGCACACAGTTTGTAGACACTGTCAGTCAACGGGTCATTTTATAAATTCCTGCTTTGGAAATAAAACCAGTCTGACTCCTGGTTAAAATACAGGCTGATTTTAAATGAGGCCTCACACCTAAAATTGTTTCACCTGACATGTCACCACTTGTATACACTGATTAAACTTTTAGCTACCTCAGAGCAGTGACTTGAAAGAAATCCTGGGATTTGCATTTTAATCAATTGAAACCTGCATCTCCTTTCTAACTGATTAAAGATTTAACAGGAGGGAGTCAGCCAGCCGTTTTAGGTTTATTTAATACATTTGCATCAGTTGTATGATCCTTTGATCTTTTATGTGTAAATTCTGTGTCTTGACATCTCCTCTCTCACTACACCAGGAGAAGGAACAATGCTCAAAAAGCTTGTGTTTAAAATAAACCTGTTGGACTATAACCTGGTGTCGTGTGATTTTTGACCTTGTCCAACCCAGTCCGACATCGGCACCTCCACTTCGTAGAAGGATAAGGACAGCAGATACATGGGAACACCACCACATGCAAGTTCCCCTCCAAGCCACTCACCATCCTGATGTTGAAATGTGTCACCATTCCTTTATTGTTGCTGGATCAAGATCCTGGAACTTCCTCCCTAACAGCATTATGAATCTATTTACAGAACATGGGCTGCAGTGGTTCACGAAGGCAGCTTACCACAACCTTCCGAAGAGCAACTAGGGAGAGGCAATAAATGCTTTAGCAGCCAGCGATGCCCATGTCCCACCTACCACGAGTGAATAAATACAAAATTTGATAGACAAAATAATTGAAAGAGTATGGATAAAGGGCAAGGAAATTATAAAAAATGTAAATATCTCTTTCAGAGACTAAGTTCAGGTTGAATGTCCTCCTCATGTCCTGGCTCTAAGCTTCTATCTGCTTGACTGTAGGGAAAATAAGGTCAATAGTCTCGCAATGCTCTAATGTAATTTGTAATGGTCATTTAGTAAAATCTGTAAAGAGGTAGTCAAGTCATTGTCAGGTTATATCTAATCATGCTAAACCTAGCATTTCTTGAGGAAGTAATCAAAGTAGTAGATAAGTGTGTGTCTATGGGTGACACGGTGGCTCAGTGGTTAGCATACTGCCTTACAGCACCAGGGACCTGGGTTCAATTCCACCCTCGGGTGACTGCGTATATGGAGTTTGCAGGTCAGACAATGCATGTTGGGTGTGAGGCCTTGTTTAGAATCTGTCTGTATTGGCATGTGAGGAAAATTGCTTAGAAGGGGCAGCATGGTAGCTCAGTGGTTAGCACTGGTGCCTCACAGCGCCAGGAACCTGGGTTCAATTCCACCTTCAGGTGACTGTGTGGAATTTGCACATTCTCCCCGTGTCTGTGTCGGTTTCCTCCGGGTGCTCCGGTTTCCTCCCACAATCCAAAGATGTGCAGGCTAGGTGAATTGGCCACGCTAAATTGCCCATAGTGTCCAGGGATGTGTAGATTAGGGATGGGTCTGGGTGGTATGCTCCAAGGGTTGGTGTGAACTTGTTGGGGCAAAGGGTCTGTTTCCACACTGTAGGGATTCTATGAATGAAAAAAGGTCAGAAACCGCGGCTGGAGGTAATGCATTGTACTCAATTTAACAGTACTATAGATTACTCGTGAAGTCCTCCAGAATTTGGTACAGTGAGCTTAACTTTTTGCTATATATAGAAATGACTTAACAAAGGAATACCATATATCCAAGTATGGTATTAAATGATGTGTAGGTGCCAGTGTTGGACTGGGGTGGACAAGGTCAGAAATCACACGACGCTAATTTATAGTCCAACAGATTTATTTGAAACCACAAGCTTTCAGAGTCTTACTCCTTCTTCTGGTGTTGGTGAGAGAGATAGTATCAGACACAAAGTTTATAAGTAAAAGAGCAAAGGGTCACACCATTGATGAGGATGTACTAAACAAACCTAAGATCCTGTTAAATCTTTCATCAGTTAGAAGGTTTAGTTGATTAATGTGTATATGTAAACCCCCCAATTCCTTTGAAGTCACTGTTCTGAGTGAACAAAAGATTTTATCAGTTTAGAGAAGAGGTGATATTTTAGGTCAGACAATGCATGTTAGGTGTGAGGCCTTGTTTAGAATCTGTTTGTATTTTGGTTTGGAGTCAGATAGGTTTTATTTCTAATGTGAGAATTTATAAAACATCATATTGACTAATGTGTCTATAAATTGTGTGCTTTTTGAACAAAATAAAATGTATCTGCAAATACAATAGATTCACGTGTATGTGTGTGTATGTGTGCGCGCGTGTGGGCATGTGTGTGTATGTATGTGTGTATGTGTCCCTCCCCTTACGAACATCTTAGGTTTGTTCAGTACATCCTCATCAGTGGTGTGATCCTTTGATCCTTTACTTTAGAAATTCTGTGTCTGCTAATACCTCTCTCACTAACACATGAAGAAGGAGTAAGGGTCCGAAAGCTTGTATTAAACTAGGTGAATTATTAATCAATATAAAAAGGCTTATGCAAAGTTACAAAGGGACTTCCATAAATTAACAAAGGGGTGGTAGTGGTAATGTCACAGGACCAGCAATCCAGAAGCTCAAACTAATACCACCATGAAAGCTGGTGGAATTTAATTAAGAAATGCTGAATTGGGGACCATGCAACTGTTATTGATTGTTGCAAAAAACTATTTGGTTTGCTAATACTTATTAGAGAACAAAATCTGCCATCTTTTCCTGGTCTGGACTGTATGTCCCTTAATTCCCTGAAAATGTGGCCCAGCAAGCCATTCAGTTCAGGGACAATTAGGGATGGGCAACAAATACAATCAGGGATGGGCCTTGCAGTGACACTCAGGAAAGAACAAAGAAGAAAAAAAGCTCATACTTTTGAGCTTAATCTGTGGGAGTTTGAGATCACCATTTTGGATATAAGAAAGATAGATTGAAGTATTTTTAAAATGGTGACAAGAGATTCAGACATTCATGTACAGAAACCACTAGCAGACAGGTTCAATAAACAATTAAAAACACAAGTATGGTGTTAGACTTTATCACAAACGTACTGGAATGCAAAGTGATAGAAGTTATGTCAGTTATATAAAGCTCTGGTTAGCTCTGGAGCACTGTGTTCAGTTCTGATCATCACAACTCAGGAAGGATATCCTGCCTTTCAAAGGAGTGCAAAATCACCAGAATGGTAGTGGGTTGAAAAATGTTAAGTTATGAGAATATATTGCATTGACTGGGCTTATAATTCTCTTCAGTATAGAAGTTTATGGAATGATCTAATTGAGATTTTTAAGATGATTGAATGATTTAATAATACAGAGAGACAGGCAGTATGGGTGTTAAATTTGATAGACCCTGTGAAGATCTCAAGGTAAGATTAAGTGGGCCTGTTGATTGAAATGCAGCTGGCATCTTAACTTCATGCTCAGCCTTAATTGTGCTCTAAATTGGCTGCAAGCATTAGCAGAGGGCTTAAAATCATAACTTCCAAGAACCACTTAAAACTGTGCTGGGCTTCCTAAAAAGGAGGTGCATTGTGGCCAAACCAAGTGCTTGGAGTCATGGAAGATGTGAATCTATGCTGGAAAAACTATCTCAGGTAGTGCAACATTATGAAGAGCTGAGTCCAGATGCTGCACTAGAATTCTTGGTGGAGAAGGTGAAAAGGAGAAGAGAGGAGGACAGGAAGAAGACTGGTAGGAGGCCCTCCACAATGCAACAGCTTACATTTATAAACTACATTTATTGTAGTTAAAGTTACACAGTTTAAAGGTAGATGGAGCAGATGACCCTGGAGATCAATGCTGGCAGTCAAGACTCAAGAACCTGGGTGCAGAGCACCAAGAAATTCATTGATCTCACACAAGCGGTCAAGGTCAGTGAATGCATTTTCAAGACCCATATCCTACCAACTGCACCACCACTCTCAGCCACTACACAGTTAACCATGCCCCTCCATTTGACATCCTACTTACCCCTCATCCCAAAATTTGCAGATGATACAAAACTAGGTGAAGGGGTGGATTGTGATGAAGATGCAAAGACATTTCAAGGAGATTTTGACAGACTGAATTTGCAATGATTTGAAAGATGGAATACAACTGGAGAAATGAATTTGACAATAAGACTATAAGACATAGGAACAGAAGTCAGCCATTGAGCCCATTGATGTGCTCCCCCATTCAATGAGATCATGGCTGATCTGATAATTCTCTACTACTTTTCTGCCTTTTCCCCTTGCTATCCTAATTGATTAAAAATCTGTCTGTCTCAGCCTTGAATTGTCTTAATTATGCAGCCTCATTGGCCTCCTGTAGTAATGAGTTTCACAGATACATTATCATATGAGAAAAAGAAATTCTCCCTCATTGTTGTCTTACATGTGTAACCCCTTACTCTGAGATTATGCCGTCTAGCCCTAGGCTTTTCCACAAGGACAGCATCTACCCAGTCAAAACACTCTAAGTTACAATAAGCTCTGCTCACATTCTTCTAATTAATACATGACCAACCCACTCAATCTTTTCTCATAAGAAAATCTCTCCATACGCAGGATCAACCCAATGAATATTCTCTAGATTGCCTTCAATGCCAATGTATATTTCTTTAGAAAATGGGTCCGAAAATATTCACAGTATTCTAGGTATGGTCTAATCAGTGTTTGTATAATTTTAGCAAGACTTCCCTATTCTTATATTCTATTCCCTTTGAAAGAAAGGCCAACATTGCATTTAACCTTCCCTGTTACCTGCTGATTTAGCTTTCTGTGATTTATGCACAAAGACCCCCAAATTTTTCATGTTGTAGCTTTCTGAAGTCTTTCTTTGTTTAAATAATTTTCTGCTCTTTTATACTTCCTACCAAAGTGCATAATCCCACATTTGTCCAAATTATATTTCATCTGCTGAGTATTTGCCCACTCACTTCCTTGGTAGGAAAAACACAAATAAAGAGTATTTCTTAAATGGTAAAAGTGTTGAACTTCAAAAGGACTTGTGTGTCTTTGAAAGTACAGCAAGCAATTGAGAAGGCAAATGGTATATTGGTTTTTTTATTACAAGACGATTTAGGTGTAGGAGTAAGGATGTACAGTATTACTGAAATTATATAGAGCCTTGGTGAGACCACACTTGGTGTATGTGTACAGTTTTGGCCTCCTTATCTCCACAAATACATACTTGCCATTAAAACAGTTTTATAAAGGTTCACCAAATTAATTCCTGGGAAGGAAGGAATATCCTGTGAGGAAAGATTAAATAGACTGGATCTATATTCTCCAAAGTTCAGAAGAATTGGATGTGATCTCATTCAAACATGCAAAATTTTTAGAGGGTTCAATAGGATTGATACAGGAAGAATGTTAGCCTGCTGGGGACATCTAGAACCAAAGGGCACCATCTCCACATGTGGCACAGGCCATTTGGGACAGAGATGAGGGTGGTGAATCTTTGGCATTCTCTGCCCAGAGAGGTGTTGGAGGTTTAGTTATTCAGTATATTCAAAGCCTGAGATTAGCTAGGTAATTGATGGGTGATATCAGAAAGCACCTCTTCATATGAAGGGTGATAGAAATCTTGAATGCTGTTTCCCAAAAGGTTGTGGAGGCCAGGTCAACTGATAATCTTGAAATGTGATTATTACATCATTGTGGAACAACAGTATATTAAGATGCATGGGGCAGTGGTGTGAAGGTGGGATTAAGATGCAAATCACATTGATTTTGCAAAATGGCTTGAGAGACTGACTGCCTTACTCTTAGTCTGATATTTCCCTGTTCCTTTTATATCCAATTTTGTGTGGTGAGTTTGTAGTAATTGACATTGCCCAAATACAATTTATTTATATCTGTAGAAGATACACAAGACTTTCAATCCACAAGTCTGGGTTGTGTTCAAAGTCAGTTCGTAGAGGTAAAAAGATCAAATGTAATGATACGGAAGCATCACACTGAAGACGCTGTTCCAAAACAGGCACTTTTGACTCAAAACATTAACTCTGTTTCTCTCTCCATTGATGCTGCCAGAGTTTTGCTGTTTTTATTATATGTGGTGATACTTTGAAAGTATAATAGAGGGGAACTATTGAAGAGATGAATTGACACTTGAACAGTAACTTTCCTGGGGGGAAAGGAAACAGAAGTCACCTACTACACTCATGGCCAAATTGATTTGGGTGGATAATCTTGGCAAAGACAGACTCAATCTAAGGCACCTCCTCTGCAACAATGGGAGAAAGGAAACTGGACAAAAAATTATTAATGGGCTACAATCATTACCTTCTGGCAGTTACCGTAGGACAGTAAAGGAGTAGGTTTCAGTGTTGGATTACCCTCTTGTCTACTTGCCTTGGGAAATCCAAAAGCAAAGACTGGAGTAGTAATTAAATATAATATGTCACCCACAAGTATGTACTTCAGCAAAGCTGGAATATAGCCCAACCTTTTATTTCTATTGAGTTTCAGTTTGTTTCTTCATTAATTTTTGTTTATAAACTTGGAGTTCAGCCACATGTTCACCACACCAATGAAATTCGAAGATGAATAGTCAAAGTTAGCTGTCTGCAGTGAGTCTGGATTTGGCTCACATTCGATGGGAAAGTTGTCACCTTACCAAAAAGAAAACTGAACATCCAGTAACCACATGCTCGACCAATGATCAAAGCAAGATAAACTGTACTCACAGTGACTTAAGAGTAACAAGGTGATCAAACTGATCCATGTGGATATAGTTCATTGGGTTATGTGATAAATTCCTGTAAAGCACCAGAAAAGACTTGCTAAATAACAGAACGGGAGTACATTTTTCAAAGCTTCCAAAATGTCTTAGAAATCCTTAATATTAATTTTCCAGCAAATTCCCATGTTGTGAGTAATTCACAATAATTATTTCTTCTTAATTTTGTCTCCTGAAATTATTTGCTTCTTGTTAAGCCACTGTTCCAAGGGGACAGTTAGCCTTCAGTGTCTCCTTTGCTCAAGTAGCCCTTAGATTAGTGGCAAGCTTGTGAGAATTTAAACTTTGGGGCCTAGGTGCCATTCTGATAAACATAGGTGGTACTCCCTCACAGAGCAATATATCCTGTGATGGGTGATGCTCAGGACTGTTCCCAGTACTTGACATACAGTCCAAACAGGGCTTTGTATCGTGGAAACATGACTTGTACATTCGTGTTCTATTTTTCTGATTTAAATGTCAGCATTCCTATAGCTTTCTTGGATTATTCTTTGTTCCTGTGTGTGACATTTCATTTGATCTATGTATCAGAACTCTCCCAAGTCTCTTTGGAATTTTAGTGCTTCTACCCTTAGAGAGCATGCTGTTTCACCCTCTTTAGTTGCGACATGGATGATTTTGCATTGAAATCTACTCGTCATAGTTTTAACTGCTTGATCTATGCATGTCTCTTTGTGATTTGATGCTTTGTTCTAAATTGCTTACAATGCCACCCATGTTTGTGACATCAAAAGAATTGGTTACCATGATATGCAGGTTTTCCAGTTTCCACAGTGTATTTCTCCATCCAGACCCTCTGATAGACAGTAGATCCAGTGTATTAGGCATGTGTGAACTTATATCTATTTAGCTGACAGTATTGTGTTTGTGTAAAACTGAAATACCAACTTAAATGATGGCATATGTGTGAAATGGAAAGGAATGTGTGATATTCATGTTTATTGTTGCTGCATTTTTCAGACCAGTCAGGCTAGAACTTCCAGATTGCATTTTATAATTTGTCTAATTGCATTTTATGATTTGTCTAGTGTATGGCCCCTAACGTGGATACATTTTTGATGTCTTTTATATACACATCAATATGAAGATACATATATGTATATGTTCCTTTGGATGCTTTTCCTATGCAGTTCTTACTCAGGTAATCACACTGAGCCAATAAAATTTGCTTTTCTCAATCCCATTTCGTTTTCCTTTTTTTCTCCTTCCCTGTCCTTCCATTTGTTTCCACTTTCTCACTCACTGTGCCAGACTGAGAAAAGATGATTTGACCCCTTTCCACAGACACAAATGTAAGTGACAAATGAGAGGCTGTTCAGCCTGTTTCACTAATTCTCGACGGAAATTCATGTTTCCCCCCAGACCAAATAAAATCTATCCTTTTATGGACTTTATCTAGCCACTTAATTCCCCAAGGGAACATTCTGTATAAATAATTGATTCCAAAAGTAATCAAGCAAAACTGATGAATATCCATCCATGTATCTCCATTATTCAAATCTGGCTTGCAACCAAGCTACATTCATACATACTCCCACCTCCTCTCCTCCAGCATTAGCTGCAGAGGAATGTGTGTAACACTTTCTCATCTCAGTTCATATTAATTCTTATAACCTGCAATCTACTGTCTGAGTTCAAACAAGAGGTAACTCCAGCACAATCAGTGAAACTGTGCCCTTGCTCTGTTGCAGATTATGTCTGGCTGCTCCAGAACCACAGTTTTAAATTTAATATGGAAACCACATATGCTTTTCAAAACATCAACAAGAGCAGACTATATTTGGAATGGGATTAAAAGCTGTAGAATAACTCTCAATAGAGATCACAAAATCTTCTTGGAACATGATAATCCTCTAGCTATTGTATATGCAATCTGTGGAGGACAAGTGATCAAAAATGAATAATGTGAATGAGTTTTGCTTAATTGCCTTCAGAAGTTGGGAAGCAATTCTGCCAAATTATTGAGACACATTAATTTACAGAGTAAATTGCAGGATCTGTGGAAGGATCAAGCTTAATGGGTGAAATGGCCTACTCTTGGTCCATGTTTGCCCATGATTACCATAATGGAGGAGATCAAAATGTAACTGACTATTAGAAAAGTAGTAAACATCGAGAAATTCAGCAACTTACAGCTGTTGGAGATGTTCAAAATCTTTGAATACTGAGGGGGACAATTCTTGAAGCTGATTCAAAGACAAATCCCTTTAAAAACAAAACAGACAAACTCTTTGAATAAATTAATGCTGGAGAAAACACTACTGGCTGAATTTTCATCATGGAAGCAGGAAACATGAGTTGGATTTGGTTTCTGGGTGGAAAGCTTCCTTTGGGGCAAATTAATTTTTATCTATTATTCAAACATGGGATGTGAATGACACTGGTTAGGCTGGTATTTGACATTGTACACTTTCACTATACTCCTGTACCCCTGTACTTAAGTGTATGTGATAATAAAACTTAAATTGAAAAATAATGTTTATTGCCTACCTCTACCCACCCTGGAGATATTAGTAACGAGCAGCCTTCTTGAACTGCTGCAATCTATGGAGCGTAGTCACACTTGTCTGGATGAGTGTAGCTCTAACAACACTCAAGAAGCTTGACACCATCCAGGACAAAACTGACCACTGATTGGCACTATATCCACAAACATCCATTCCCTCTACCACAAATACAGTGTGTACTATCTACAAAATGCACTGCAGAAATTCACTAAGGCTCCTTAACTAGCACCCTCTAAACACACGACCACTTCCATGGAGAAGGACAAGAGCTGCAGATACATGGGAACACCACCACCTGCGTGTTCCTCTCCAAATCACTCATCATCCTGACTTGGGAGTATATTGCTGTTCTTTCGCTGTTGCTGGGTCAAAATCCTGGAATTCCCTCCCTAAAGGCATTGTGGATCATGAACTGCACGGTTCAGGAAGGCAGCTCACCATTACCATCTCAAGGGTAATTAGAGAAAGGCAATAAATGCTGGCCTGTAAGTGGCACCCACATCCCATGAGTGAATATTGAAACAAAAAAAACACCAGCAGTGCTAGGGAGGGAAATCACGAATCGCAAATTCACCTATCCGTGCAAAAAAAAAGTAACAAAAATAAGTATCTGCAGGCAAAACTCATGCATCCCTGAATTTGAACCTATTTTAATCTATTGTTAACAAGCTCTGCGCTTGTGAATTTCTTCATTCACCAGGGTTCTCAGGAATGGAACCCTAGCAAATACGGAGGAATGACTGTACTTGATGGGATTTGAATGCGCTGATTGAGCTTTTATTAGAAAAGGGTGTGTAACTTTTAATATAGTGAAGACAGTAATAACTACTTAGAACTTTATTCTGTTACATTTCTGCCAGTAGTTTGCTCATGGTAGATATTGAATGAAGTAGCATGATAGGTATAAGGGCAAAGCGTGCTGCAGCCTAACCATTGTTCAGTAGTCATCACAAATCCTTCACTTTAGTTATCAAAGTCTCTCATATGAAGACATAAATGCCATTTGTCTTCTTGATGGCTTTCACTTGAGAATATGCTTTGGTCAAATTTCTCTTCCTTTCACTTCTCTGGCATGTTGCCAATTAATAATTAGTTGTGTTGGTGCAGAAATTTAATACAGCTCGCAGAATTTGTATTCTTACAACTTAGGGTACAAAATGTGTCACCACTTAAAATCATGTTCGGAAATATGCATACAGTTTCTGAAAAACGATGCAGACAAATACTCTAATACAACTAGTAACTTTCCAGGTTTGTCCTCTGGGTCCTGTGCCAATTACCCTGATTGTGTGTTTGGTTAATTGTCCATCGTGAAATGGGGTGATGAGTGATTTATCTTGTATTTCAAGCCAGTACTGCTACTTGCACATTGTGATAGTAGTGTGTAGTACCTCAGGTTGTGGGTGTCTGCACACGCACTATCCTGTACTGTCATCAACTCCTCATGTAATTTAATAATCTTCTGTTTATATCCATACATAGTAGCTATTCCAATACAGTTGTCTAGTGTAGTGTCTAACCTCTATCTTCAGATGCTCATTCCAGTTCGGTGTCATCTCTCTTACCGATATCTAATACATGTGATCAGTTACACCATCATGATTGACATGGATCTCATTGTAACACAGCAATACATGTTGAGGGTGGGGAGTGCAACAGCTTGGAGAACATGGCCTAACCTGATCCGGTCTTGAGGTGATGTTTACAAATTCCCTCTTCCACTACAAGCTTCTGGCTGAAAAAATAATGAATTGTCACCAACTTTGTCCTGCCTGACTGGAAGTACTAAAGTCAGTCATTGTAGTAACCTTACTATTAGGCTGGCAAACAGCTGAATCTGTATAGACTGAGGGATTAAACTTGGACCATTCCTCCATCTATGTAGCTCATGTATTCACAATGTTAATCTTAAAAGTTGAGCTGCTGAGGATTTCAAAATTCCAATAGTGAATACATCGATGTTAAATACTTAAAACTGCAGAATTTACATTAAGTAGTCAAATTGTGAAATTCACAGATTCAGGCACTCAAGCATTTATCTTAAAGCTCTGTCTTTTTCTTCAGAAAGCATCCAGGAAAATTCAGGTCCCACTGCTGTGAAACAAAAGCCCTTTTGGTATTCTACTGGACATCAGCAGCGTCAGTGGGACATGAATTTTCCTGGATTCTTTCTGAGGAAGAATGCTGACCTTTAAGAAGAATATTTGAGTGCCAGAATCTGTGAATTTCATAATTTGACTAAATTCTGAACATATAGTTTTGTGTATTCAACACTGATCTTATCGCTGTTGGAATTTTGAAATCTCTGCAGCAGTAGCTAAGCTTTTAAGATTTAACATTGTGAATATATGAAGAAATGTAGATGGAGGAATGGTCCAAGTTTAATCCCTTGGTCTATGCAGATTCAATCATTTGCCAATCCAATAGTAGGGGTGCTACAATGACAGGCTTCACTGCTTCCAGTGAGGCAGGGGTAGGTTGGCAGCAATTCATTACTTTCCTATTCAGAAATTGTGCTGACATTTATTCAAAATTTCTCAATGTGTTTGTCATGCTGTGGCAAAGCTGTGAGTATCACTGTAATAAGTTCTTATCATTATAACAAGTTCAGGTGCTATTGCTGCCCACCTTGGAGGGGTTTTGTGAGGAGTGTAAAAGAACAGATAAAGCAAATTGAGTCACAAATAATGACGGTATGGGGTTAAGAAAAGTGCAGAAATGGCTTGATTATGAAGCTTTTCTGAAATAAATGGGGTTGCATGAAGCTATGGTATAGTCAACTAGCCAGGCAGATACCTACTCTTTCTGATGCTCTATTGCTAGTGCTGCAGGCAGGGAACTAGATGAACTAGACTTCTTTGTTGTCTTAATTCTAATGAACCATATCATGGAAAGTTATATTGGGAGCAATACACTGAAGGCAGCCCCCAGCACCGAGTTAGAACTCAGTCAGCAATAAATCCTAAAGGACAAACCCAATTATTTCATCAAGAATAAACTAACTTGATAATGTTATCCTGTCAGGCTGATGGTGCCTAAACAGCAGCTGGAGAATCAGTAGTGTCAGGTTTTTATGAGTTATGTTCGTCCTTACAATATCAAATGCAAAGCCTCTGACATTTATTTGCATGTAATTCACATTACTGCACTCTCGTTAAGCACAGCTATGTGCAGTTAAAAATAGAAGAACCATAAAGGATGTTAAGTGCTGTTCAGGAACAGAACGATAAGCTTGATGCTTTTATTTTCTTTATTGCATCTATTTTTAAGCATTATTTGGGAGTGTGGTTCAGGCTCCCTATATAATTTTAATTGGGTGTATTTGGATTGTTAAAATGAAAAAGCTGAGGAATTACAGCCAGGCAGTCACTTACAGTTCTACCATGAGTGGCATTGTTGAGAAAGTATCTTCCTTAATATATCTGATTTTATTGTTGCGAAGAACACTACAAGAAAGAAAATATTCTGATCAGAACAAAAAAAGTCACTAAGCAATAATTCTAATTAAACATATATTCTTGCAAAAAGTATTGGTCTTCAGTGGTAATGCAATGTGGTTCTGATTCTCATTTTTATTAACTTTAATAAGGAAATCAATTGAAATAAAATTCCAGCTGGGTGCAAATCATTTTAAATTTTAAAAAAGATAACCAATATTTTTATACAGACTACAGTCACAGCTACGAGTTCACTATGGTCCATTTTCTGCTACCATTGAACATATTTATTTCATCCCCTCATAGATCCTGTATAGAAAATATATAAAGACAAAAGCTTCGGAATATGATCGAGAATCATTAATTTACAACCTGAAAATGGATGTGCAAAAGGAGCAGGCGGGAGACAAACTCCATAAAGGACCCTGGCATGATGGGACTGGGCCTAATTAGAACAGTTTGTGTGACAGAATTTAAAGTTTAACAACAGGAGGTACTCAAGTTTTCCTTTGATTTTGTCCTCTCATTGAGTCTTTTACTCCTTGCTGAGTCTCTTTTTCTATAGCAGTCTGGTTCTTAGCCAAGAGCATTCTACAGTCAGAACAAGCAGTGAGAGACAAAGCTGCAGAAAGATGAGACTGGTTTATCCCTTCAGGCTTTTGAATCCCACCATCAGGTTTGAAGGAGCATCAGAAGCCTATATTGTACAGAAAATAATCAATCATGGTGAATTTTCTTGGAGCAGCCAACCAATGGTCAGAGGGTGGACTTACTGTCTAATTAAGGAGGGTTAATCAAAGGGCTTCCAGCATAAAGTAGCAACAGGACATAGGAAAGGAAGCACTTCAAAATTGAGGTGTGTTCTCTCCAACCTTTTACAATTTGAACTCTAAAAAGATGGCTTTTGCAGTCAGGTAACCATTGTTGGGGTGAGGGATTTCATCTATAGGGTGGCCCGTGGCTGCTGCTGCACTCATACAGGCCAGAATGATCTCTAGGCCTGTCTAGAAAAGATGATCCTCTAGACCAACTCCAGGAGGCTACACCGCAGGCATGTAAAACCACTTGCAGGAACTAGAAAATTCCAGAAAGGCTCCTTCATTGGATTTGATGGACTTTAAGGAGCTGAACTGGCTGCTGTTATTATAGAATCCCACAGCATGGAAATAGGTCATTTGGTCCAACAAGTCCACACCAACCCATAGGAGAGCATCCCACCTAGACCCATCCCCCTATCCTATCCCTGTAGCCTTGCATTTCCCATTGCTGATGCACTTAACCTACACAATGGACCACTTGCATGGCCAATGCACCAAACCTGCACAGCTTTGGACTGTGGGAGGAAACTAGAGCTCCCGGAGGAAACCCATGCAGACACAGGGAGAACGTGAAAACTCCACACAGACAGTCACCCAAGGCTGGGATCAAACTGGGTCCCTGATGCTTTGAGGCAGCAATGCTAACCACTGAGCCACCATGCTACCTCACAGTTGCATGTGGGCTTGTAGCCTTGGCCCCCTCCAACTCATAATCTACCTCCATGAAAATGATTCAGGGCAAGAAGGAGTCCCACGATACAGCCACTGGAGCTATTTTTAGCATCCAACACAAAAAGTGCATCATTTAACCACCTAACTTGCCTCCATCATTCACAAATGGTACACTCCAATTTCAGAATAGACCAGGAAATAGATTAGCTAAGAAACAGTAAGGAGCTAAATTAGATATGTAAATCATAAAACAATGTTATACAAGGGGATTCAAAACAATTTTGATGTTCAACTGGTGAAGACCCTACAAACACCACTCTGGAACTTAGCATTGAGCAATGAAACCAGTAGTAAAACTGGGGTGGCATTCAGGGAAATGCTGCTCCAAGCCTGGGAGAATCTTCTCAACCGCTGCGATGTATACCTTCCTTCACCAGGATTGTCTCCCCTGCCCCTCTCTCTCCATATACCGCCACCTCTGATTCAGCTAGAGTCAGTTAGCCAACATTCAGACAGTGTTCATTCAACTTTGACAGTTCACCAACAATGTTTCAGTTAAGTTTGACCATACAGTTTGGTCAGGTCTTTCACCAATTCAGCTGGGTGAGTGGCAGACTTAGAATTGTCTAACTGAAGAGTTACTGTGTGACCATATCTTCTCCACCAAATCTCTTGATCCACTTCAATCCCAGACCTGACTCTTCCTTGAGTATAAATTCATAAGCACTCTCATTATCTTCTGTTCTTTTGCCCTTTCTCAAACACTTTTTAAAAACTAGCTTTAAAAAAAAATCCAGCCTGGATGACTTTATGCAAAATTAATATTCTATCTTCTCCCAGTTTCTCTGTGAAGTCTTTGACTGCTTCAGTGCCAGTGAACTGTTGCATGATTATTGTTCTCTGAGTCTCCTTACCTCCTCAGGATTTTTCTAACCTGTTCTTGACTGGCATGTAAGCTGATATATCTAACTCTATCACTGCAACGCTTTATGATTATTGCTTTACTGCCTTCCTTTCTGCCTTTATATTCCATATGCATAGAAATAGGAGTCAGCCATTGACCCTATTCTGTCATTCAATTAGATCGTGATTAATCTGTATGTCCATCTAGGCACATTGGTTGCATAATCTTTATAATGCTTACCTAACAAACGTCCTTCTAAGTCCGTTTTGAAATTTTCAATTGATCGCGGTCTCAATAAAGTTCTAGATTTCTATGTGTGGCGATGTGCACTGATTCACTGTCACCCTTTTCCACCCTGAAAACGAGGACAGCAGTCTTACCCAATGAATCTATTACAGAGGTGGAGCTCCGTGACATACTCACAGAACAGTAATCTTGCTGCATGCCTGAAAATTCTTCTTCTCGATGGTCTCAAGACTATTTCCTTCTACATCCCTGTTTCAATTGCAACAAAGTGTAAAGATTAGCAGGTATACTCTGCATGGCAATGCATGTTAAAAAAAATCAATCTTATCTCTTGCTTCTTCTTTACACTACATTCAATTTTTCAACTCCTAAAGGCAGTACACTCTGTTTAGGTTGAACGCCTCTGAGAACTGATAGCCCTCTAATACATTGTCCATATAGGCTTTTATCCACATGTGATCCTAAAGAGAGTGCTTACACAGCTATATGCACAGTCACTTCTCAAAATATCTGGGGTTGGTGGGCAAACTTATGCCCAAAATGTTCATGTGGGCAACATGGAAAGGAACCAGCCTAAGTTTGGAAGAGCACTTTGCAAGATAAATATGAAAAAGAGAAATAAAAGTTGGTGAGCCATGGGAGCTTTTTGCCCAGGGAGTTAAGGCCAAGAGGTTTTCTCCCAGTGTTGAGGCTGAGAAGCTCACTATCAGGAGATTCATCTGCTAGGTCTGCAGGGAATGAGGGTTGGGGGTTTCATCAGTTAGGGTGAAGAGAGAAAGAGGCTGAGAGGGAAAGAGACTTGGGAGGAAGAGGCTGTAAAGGTGATGTGAAAGAGGATTCAAGGGAGCAGTAGGACAGGCTGCAAGTGAGCAAGGTGGTGGCTGCAAGGATGGGCAGGTTGCAAAGGGAATGAGGGGAGAGAGGCAGGTTGGAAGGGAGTAAGGGTAAGATGGGGCGGGGGTAGGCCACATGGGGAGCAGCATGTTGGGAAGTGAAGGTAGCAGCATGGGGGGTTATAGAGAGACTGGAAGGAATTGCAAGGAGAGTGGGACTGAAAGGGCGCTGAGGCAGTCTGCAAGGAGTAGAGGTAGAGGGAGATTGTAAACAGTCAGTTATAAATGTATCACCAAAGGAATATCAAGTTAACCAGGAGCCAGGAAAGCCTGAAATCACTGAAATAATGAATTCCTTGCAAATGAATGTTGAATCTCTAGCTTAAAGACACACATGTTCAGGAATTACTAAATGGAGAAAGATTTAGTGGCTGCCAATGTAATTGTCACTGTCAATTATTAAATTTAAATCTGCCTAGTTAGAATCTTCCAGCTTTGTGCACATACAACACATACACTCTCACTATGATTTCACCAGTCAATGGAAGATATGTTTAGAGTGGTAGCTTTTCATGTGTAGAAATGTTATCTCAGTTATTTTGAAATAAACTTTTCTCACTAACTTATGAGTGTTGTCTCGTGTATAGTGTTATTTAAGAAATTAAAGCTTTCCTTATGTTTTGTGGCCTTATTTTTAATGGATGAATAATAATTATTGATGATATTGATAAATTATTATAATTCTGTTTCCATTTGATGCTAAGCAGTCTATAGGTCAACAAAAATCCAGAAGGTACTTTTACCACTTGACTGCATCACCTAATAAATGAGTTAGCAAGAATGAAGAAGGAGCCCCTAAAAGTCACACGGCCACCTATGAAAATAAAAACTTAGCTCTTAAGAAAATCTCATGAAGAGCAAATGAGAATTTGGAACTAGATTTTACATGGGAGTGAGCCTGCCTGTGCTTAGCTGGCTCACCTGGCAGTCATTTAACAGCTTCAAGTGGCTTGAGATGGAACATCTGCCCAATTGAAGATAAAGTGTTGCTTCTGAGGGCTGAAGGCCAATGAGATGGCTGACAGCTCTTTTGTCTCAGCAGCACCACTTAGGTCCCTGATAAAGAGGAGCCAGGAGGTTGGAACAAGGTTCTCTAGGAAGTCACTCTAAAGCTCCATATAACCATGCATAGAACATCAATGGCCCTTTCCCTTTCCTATCTCAAGCTTTTTTATGAAAATAATGTGAGACAGATTTACATGAATTTTACCTCAACATTGACAGTAGGATATCCACAGTCCATACTTGGCCTCTCATTATCAGCACACTTTCAACCAATATTAAATATTTTATAAAGCACTGTTGTGCATTCTCATACTTACAGCCAGTTCAGTTCTGGAAGTACAGAACAGATGTTGGGAATATTTCCCAATGAATTATTCATCATATATCTGAAGGAAGAAAGAGGACAATTTTTAAAAAAAAGTGTTCTGCACTGAAATTTTATACTGCATTGAAACATTAGACCAGGTTTTGCTGGAGTAGATCATCTTTCAGGTGTGCCATTAGTCAGACTTTCTCCTGCACACTTCCACTCAAAAGGTTTTACTGTGGAAGTTGCTATCTGTGTTAACACAACACATCCCTCACAACAAGGGCACTGTACGTCAGGCACCTTGGTGATTGGTGGTCTAACAGCATCTCTCCTTAATGTGTAAGTTTAAGGATTGAGAAGGAAACAGAGTGAAGACTCAAAAACAGGATGAATTAAAATAGGTGAATCACAGACAAGTCAGGTATGAAAACAAAAATAAGGAGAGAAAGAAAGATTGTTTTAAGAAAGATAGAATAAAAACCAGACAGAATGGGAAAGTAAGAGAAGAAACTAAAATTTAAAATCCAAAAATTTTAAAATCTCCAACAAGTTACTGTCTATAGTATGAACTGACTATCTTAAGTGGAATGCGGTAAAGTGACATGTATGATTGATATAAATGAGTCTGTTACTGTGCCCGAAAAGATCTCAGAAAAGAAGCCGACAATGCACTAATGCAAATATTTATCAACAGATTTAAACACAACTTTGATAGTGGTCAATGCTAGGTTGAGAAGAAGTAAATATTTCCACATTTCAAGGAACGATATCAGCCTCAAGATAAAGTAATTGCTAAAATAAAACAAAGAACTGCAGATGCTGGTGATCTGAAACAAAATCACAAATTGCTGGAGAAACTCAGCACATCTGGCAGCATCAGTGGAGAGAAAACAGAGGTAATGTTTCATGTCCAGTGACCTTTCTTCAGAGCTTAGTTCAGAATGCAGTTAACTATGTTTTCTCTGCATAAAATAATTGCTGCTCATTTGATTAAAAGTGAATTCTCAAAAGATTTTCAAATGGCACATGATTTGGGTGAAGAATCTAATTGTAAGTATGAATAGATCTCATGTGGATGGGTGCAGTATAGTTCCTATTCCACACTTTCACCTTCTACTTCCCATGGTATCCAGAGAATTTATCCCTTTCAGTGACAGGCATGTAGCCTGGGCCTGAGCAGTGAAAGAATTACCAACTTCTAGTTGGCATAAGGGATCCATAGTATCACCGTCTAAATCCATTCAATGACAAACTTATCAATAGTAAGGGATGAGTCAGTCATTCACTACTTACAGGAAGAAGAGAGACTTCAGGCCAACAAAGGTCTTTGGTGTGATACTTCCTATCAAGTTGTTGTCCACAATGCTATAACAGAAGGAGAATTTGGATTATCAGGTGACTGATCCCCTAACTACTCATCATTCTTTATAAGTACATCACGCTAGTGCACAGACTATATATCATTGTCAGCATTAGGAACTGGGAGGCTCATTAAAATTTCAACCAGAATTGGAAAAAGTTTGGATAGCACAGGATCAGAACTGGTTATGCCTTTTTTTGAAAAAAGAATTACATGTATTCAGAATTAATGTTTTATTAAATTTGAAGAATATCATTGCACGATTCCCTATAATCCCAATAGAAGGTAACACCTCAATTTGTAGCTGTAGTACTACTTGTGAGAAGGGTATGCATTTCATTGAATGACACCAGATTCCTAAATTAGCTTTTCAACTCAGAACTTGGTACCATCAGAAATCTCCCAGGAAGATAGCAAAAACTTTAAAGATGACCTCAAAGCTTTGGCCTAATTGAAACCTCTGTCTTGTGGCTGTATTGTGACTGACTAAAAATTGAGAAGGTTCATTTGGGAAGGTACTGAGAACATTGAGAGACTTCATCAGGCAAATGCAGAGGTGAAGTTGAGGCACCAGAGACAACATATAATCCTTCAAATGCCTCTCTGAACACTGACTATCCAGTATGTGTCCAAGTCAGAGATCATACACTGGACTTATCAGCAATCTCAGAACCCATCAAAAATAATTGCAGGCAAATCATTCTCAATCTTGAGAAAGACAGATATACCTAGGTCTTGGTTACCAAGCAACTGGATATTTATCTGTGGCTTAGATGTTTATCTGGAGACTATGCACACATTTCAATACAACTGGATAGTGCATAGAATATGTTAGACATCAGCTCCATATTAGTAAGGTAATGGAATTGGAAAAAATCTTGTGAAATGTATCCATTAGATATGATAGCCTAGTTGGAAAAGTGTAGAGCCTTTAGTTGGTATGACTCTATCTGAATTTATACTCTCGTTATGAGGGGTGTCGTTCATTTAATTCCTGATAAACTAATTGGAAGTGAGGTGCATTTTGTCGTGAAAGCTCTTCAAACACCTTTGGTCTTGTTGCAAAGGATGTATTTCACTTTTATACCTGGAGTCTAGGTAAAGTTAAGAGACTAGACAGAGTTTTCAAATTAAAAATCCACTTCATCAATAAAGCTTGAGACAAATGTTTGTAACTTGGTTGACTTTGGCAGCAGTTAAACACTGATGTGTTTTTACCACAGGTTAGTCAACATTGTCCTTTATTCTCTCCCTCTGGCAAGGTACTGAACATGTATTCAGCAATCTCAGTTTGAGTGCATATGTTGCAAAGTGTCTCCTCCATATTGTAAGCTAGAGCATTTCCTCATAAGGAAAAAGGTGAGAAGATATCACAGCCCAAACCGAAGAAGTGGCATTGGTTTCAAGAGGCAGGTACATGTTGTCCTGCCTCAGGTTTGAAGCACTGGTGCTCCCATCCCTAGCCAAACCATTAGTTGGCTTTCTGTTGCTGGCAGCCAGTCAGATCATGCTGTACCACCCACATCACAATGCCACTGTCTGAAGCTGAGCCTTTTAGGCCCAGAACCATTGCAGCCATTCTCAAAGGTCATTTCCATTCACTGAATGTCAGCACATTTGTACCTCTGTGACAGCGCTGTGTGGGAACACTAAAGCCCATATTTTCACTGTTGGGGAATCTTCTCCATCCCAGCAAAAATTCCAAAAAAGACTCCAAGGATTGGAAGTCCCAGCCCTCTAAGCTTCATTTCTGATGTCTATAGGGGCAGGTTTATGGACTTTTCAAGCATGGTTCCATTTAAATCAGATCTTGATATCCTCACAGTTGGGAAGCCAGAATTTACAGCAGACCATGACACAGCAATTTTGTTTCAGTACCTTTATTTTGGATAGCAAAAGCAGCCCTTTTGAGAGGCGAGGTATCCCAGGACACCTTGGGAGAGGATGGTTTAGGTGACCAAGTGAACGTTAGATGCTCGGAGTTGGCCAGGAACCTTTGAGAGTGTCAGATATGCTTTGAGATTGCAAAAAGAAAACATGAATGTCCCTAAATGATGCATAAACCCATTAGAACTGTCAAAATAGGCAAAGAACTATTAAAGCTGCCAAGCCATTTAGTGTCCGGTGTTTTCACGAAAGATTGATTGAAGACATTTCAATGTATTGATTTTTTTAATGAGTGGGAGGCTTTATTAACATAATTTCTTTTAGATATTACCAGTGGACACATAACTATGTCAGCATTGCGACTTAAGTTTCCCATCATAGATACCAAGTGGTTAGCATGGAGGAGAGGGCAAAGGGAAGGAAAGGGGCTTGCATTGGCATGAGTTGGCTCTAAATCGAGGAGCACAGGTTAGCAAAGGGAGTATGAGGAGCCATATGGTTTGGGTATAGGGGAATAATGTGGATATGAGGGGCCATGAAGACTGGGTAGGAAGGCATAAGGTGGTTAAGACACTGGAGATGGGAGTAGCCGCAAATAGGTTGGTATGGGGAGAATGAGGGGCCGTGGGAATTGATAGTGGGACCTAGGGAAATCACAAAGTATGCACTTCCTTCCATTCATGGCAACAGAAGCATGAGATCTCAGTAATATCTATAAACACCATGTAGAAGATGCAAAAATCCAGCTCCTTAACATCATTGAAGGTTAAATCATCTGAATAAAATTGAACTTAAAAACTCAGATAAGATTTCTCATGAATTATTCTCCTGTGTACTTAGTGAGGTTACACAGCACAAATACTTGCTGTATTATTAAAAATAAAACCAGAATATTCTGTAAACATCCAACAGGTCTGGCAGCTTATGTACGATGTCTCCAAAGAAGCTGTCAGACCTGATGAATATATATAGTATTTTCTGTTTTTATTTCAGATTTACAACATGTTCAGTATTTTGCTTTTGCCTGTCTGAAGTATTGATGACTTACTTTTAAATTGCCTCAAGTTTTTCAAACCTGTCAGCACTTGATTTTTATTCATGCTTTCAAGACTTGGTTTATTGCGGGAAGTTTGCAACGTTAAACAAGATGATAATTAAACCATATTAGGAAAAACATTCCAGAGATATAACACAAAAATATTTGAAAACACTTACAGCCACTCAAGTCGATGCAGATCGCGGAATACTCCTGGCTTCAGCACAGAGATTTTATTGTTGCTGAGAAATCTGGTGTAAAAGAGTAAAAATGTTAAGGCTGTTAAAGGAAGAAAGGTTTGCATTGATATAGCATCTTACTACATCTCAACTCACTTCACAAGAATTAGGTTTGCTATTTGCAATAATACGTTGAAATACTGTAGACAAAAGGCACTTGGTATGTACTTGGTAAAAGTACAAACACTCTGTCTCGCACTTGTTCATTAAGGTTGTGGGTTGGCCAGGATGCCAGGAGAAGTCCATGTTTTCTACTGTGGAATCCTTCACCTCAAACTGAACTGGTAAATGGAAACTTGGTTCCGTGTCTCATACTAAGGACAGCACATTCGAATCTCCACAGTCTCTGCACCAACAACATCCTAAGATTGGTGACTTTGTGATATGAGAGGAGAGACACTAAGACTTCTGGTTTGAGGCAGCCTCAAAGATTATTAATCTTAGAACACTTGTAAGAAATGGGAGACTTGATCCCATCAATCCAGGTGAAAACAACTTTTTAACCCATTGTTCCAACCAGCTTGCTTAATGGCAAGTAGTTTGTACAGATTTCATAAAAGCCTCACAGTGTGGAAACAGACCATTCAGCCCAACAAGTCCACACTGATCCTCTGAAGAGCATCCCATCCAGACCCATTCCCCTACCCTGCCCTATTCCTGTAACCCTGCATTTCCTGTGGCTAATGCACCTAACCTACACATCCTTGAACACTACGGCCAATCCAACTAACTTGCACATCTTTGGACTGTGAGAGGAAACCAAAGCATCCAGTAGAAACAGGGAGAACGTGCAAACTCCACACAGTCACCCAAGGTTGGAATCAAACCCAAGTACCTGGCGCTGTGAGGCAGCAGTGCTAACCACTGAGCCACAGTGCCGCCCCAGTTCTCATTAGAGAACTTTATACTGAACTTTGTAGAACTTTGGAGGGTCCATGGAAAAACAAATGCCGTTTCAAAATCCCCTAAAGACAATTTATTGAATATCAGTAATGTTGAGGTATATCATTTTCCCGAGTTGAGTGATTATATGAGACCACATGCCTTTAAATACTTACAGTTTCTTCAGGCGGAAAAGCCCTGCAAAGGCTCTGGTGGATATGGAATGTATTGAGTTATTTTGCAAAACCCTATGGAAGAAAGCACAAGAAGTGACTTGAGAAAACAGGCAAGGAAATAGACAAGCAAACTAACAGGCTACACCTGATTCAGACAATACACAACAACAGGCAAAGGACAGGAAAATTCTATTGATAGTTGGTAACTTTCTTGCCCAAATGTGTTTCATCCTATAGTAAGTGCTCCATCTGAGATGAAGTTTGTGCATCAATGACCAGAGTTTCAATAGAAATGCCCCAGTTGGATTATCATTGTGAATGTGTATGTTTAATTCCTGATCATATGGCTCCCAAGTAACTTCTAAGTATTTCTATAAGGTTCAATAATGGGATAAGAAGAACTTAAATGAGTTTTTTTTATTCTTTGCATGGGATCTAGCTGTCACTGGCTAGGCCAGCATTTACAATCCATCCCAAATTGCACTTAAAAGATGATGGTGAGTTGCCAAGGATGGTGAGTGGTTTGAAGGGGAACTTGCTGGTGGTGGTGTTTACATACATCTGCAACCCTTGTCCTTCAAGGTGGTAGTGGTTATGCATTTTGAAGGGCTCTCAAAAGAGCCAGTTACTGTTGGGTATCTTGCACATAATACACACTGCTGCTAATGTGCATTGGTACTGGAGGGAGTGAGAGTTTAGGCTGGTGGATAGATTGCTGATCAAGTGTGCTGCTCTGTGTGTTTCTTGTGTTGTTGGATCTGCACTCATCCAGGGAAGTTGGCTGTATTACATCACACTCCTGACTGGAACCATGCAGATAGTGACCTGACTTTGGAGGGGTTGGGAAGTGAGTCACTTTCTACAAAATCCCCTGCCTCTGACCTATTTTTATGGCTACAGTAATTACATGGCAGGTCGTGGTTAGTTTCTGGTCAATGAAAATTCCCTGGGATGTTGTAGATGGGGATTCAGTTATGGTCATACCATTGAATGTCAAGGACAATTGGTAGATTCTTTCTTGTTAGAGATGGTTATTGCCTGGTATTTGTGTAGCATGAAGTTAATACAGTCTTTTGAAGATGGCCAGCTTTCAATCTGTTACTGGTATGTTAATCATTTTCATTCCAACAATGGTTTTCAGTTCATAAACATCTTGCAGTCTCTATTGTTGGAGAAATGGATGGAGGGCACCTTGGATACGCTGGAAAATCATTTTTTACAACTGTCTAAGTGACAGAATCTATTCTACAATAATCAGCTCTTTCATTTGACAGGGTTGTTTTTACGGTCGATCCATTTGATTTATATTGTTCAATGCACAGAAACAGCATGTGCTATTTGGAAAGTAGCTATCTGATCTTGAAAACCCTGAGAGACAGAGCATGCATCAGGGTCATCATGCTCTGGAAGCTGTTCTGCAGGGCGCTGTCTATTCTCTTTGCTGTGCTACAAGTAACTGAAATGTGTCTTTTGGGAGAGTTAGAGGCAGAAACTAGTCCCTGGCCAGTTCTTTGTTGAGGGTCAGCTGCAATTTCCATTGAAACTGCCACACGCTTCATTGACGTTTGCGCCACAGAAAAGGTTTCTCGGATGTTGCCACAAATAAGAAACAGATGGCAACATGTTTTAATGAAATGGAATGAAGGATTAATGTTGCCCTGGACAGTGGGAAGTCTCCCCTCTTTTCCTTTGAATTGTGTCGTGGGTTATTTAGATCAGGTCCGGGTTTGATGTCTTATTTGAAAGATGTCACTTCCAGTAGTTCCATATTGAAATGCAATTGCCTTATGAGATGTGGTGCCTGAATTGATTACCTTCTGACTCAGAGGGGAGAGCTAACCAAGGCTAATTACAAAAAAGTAAAATTAAAGCTAAAAAAGAATTCTGTAAAGGGCATCGAATAAGAAAGAACAAAGGAGATAAAGGCCGACAGGCGGATCAGATTAAAAAGTTTGAACTTGCTTGTTTACATTTCTCATTAATTTTGCATCTATGTTTGTAGATTATGATTAATATTATTACAGGCAGAATGTAAATCCTCATATCTGAGTAGCTTACAACTTTATGTGAGCTGAATGTTTACAAAACTTGCTGGCTTGAGGAAATTGTTACTATCCAATTTACTAGTTAAAATGACAGATTTTTTTAAAAATCCAAGGTGACTCAAGGAGTGGCGAGCTTGTTATTTACAAGTTCAGACAGTTAATTTTTATTGCTATTTGTTTCCATTTTTTGAATTTTCACTATTAAAAATATTCAAGAAGAAAGTCATGTTGGATTTGAAACAATAACATTGTTTTTCTCTCCAGATGCTGCCAGATCTGCTAAGTTTCTCCATCAATTTCTGTGTCATAGCATTCAAGGCTATGGAACTATAGTGCAGGAAAATGGGACTAGTGTAGGTAATATTGCATTTTTGGCATTACAGACTTGATGGGCTGAAGGGTCTCTGCTGTACTGTCTGATTCTATAATTCTTGTCAGATCTCCGCAGTGCTTTGATTTTACACTAGAAAAAAAACTACATTGTTTTCAAAAAGAGAAACCTATGTGCTGTACAGATATACTGGCAGAATCTTACATGCCACATTACAAGACTTCTCAAGCATGTAGTTTGTGTTACATTCGTTACTAATGTGTATCTCCTCACTTTATCATTACGGCCTGCTTTTCAATTGTAATTGTCTTCTGGTATTTCATGTACACAATATACCTGAACAGCTTCCCCTTCCAGTGGCATGGGGTGAAACTGCTTCCAAGATAAGGGGATGTAGCAACAATGGAAATAGGGGTAGCAGCAGGCCATTCAGCCCACAAGCCTGCTGCACCATTCACCTTGATGATAGGTGATCTTCCATCTCCGTGCCATTTTCCCACATTATATCCCTTGATAGCTATAATATCTAGAAATTGTCTTGATTATTCTCAATGACTGAGCCTTCACAGGCCTCTGGGGTAGAGAACTCCAAGATTCACAACTCTGTTTGAAGAAATTCCACCTCATCTCAGTCCTATATGTTCTATCCCTTATTCTGAGACTGTGGCCTAGTTCCAGAACCCCATCCCTAGTTAGGGCAAATATCCTTTCTTCATGAACCCAATCAAGACCTGAAAGAATGTTGCATGTTCCATTTTCCATTCATTGAAACTCTGGAGAATACAAGCCCAGTCATTGCAATTTCTCTTCATAGGACAGTCCCACCATCTCAAGGATGACTCTGGTGAACATTTTTTCACTCCCTCTATGATAAATATATCCTTCTTTCCATAAAAATGAGTATTAGCTCATAGACACTGGCCTCCCTAAGTCTAAACTACTACAGTACAAATATAAAAGTATTTATGGTGTTCTAATTGCCCATTTCTTACTCTACAAGCCCATAAGACATAAGAGCAGAAGCATTGAAATTGCTCCACCCATGACTCCTTTTTCCTGCCTTTTCTCCATAACCTTCAATCCCCTGGCTGATTAAAAACATGTTGATTTCAGCCTTGGATATACTTAATGACCCAGCTTCAACAGCTTTCTGGGAAAAGAAACTTCTCCTTATCTCTGTCTCAAATGTGCAATCTCTTAGTCTGAAATCATACCCTCAGGTCTCAAACTCTCACACAAGGGGATAAAACTGTTCTGTATCTACCTGTAAAGTCCTGAATCTTGCATCTTTCAATAAGATTGCCTCTCATTCTTCTGAATTTTAACAAGAATAGGCGCAAACTACTCAACCTCTCCTCCTAAGGCTGTCTCCTCATACCCAGTATCAGCCTAGTGAAACTTCTCTTGAATGCTGTGGCTATACAAAGTCCCAAATAACAATGTGCTGGGAGTTCAGAATGCAAGTACGTCCAGAGGTGTCTCTGATACAGGGACCAGGAGAGGAGGCTGGGGCATGTGCTGGTGATGTGGGGGTAAGTCGCGTTTGAAAATTGGTGAGGACCGACACCTGGGAGGTAGAAAACATGGTGAGGGGCACCACATCATCAATGAGGGCCTCCCCTCATTCTTGGCCATGGCTCTTATGTACAAATCGTCCTTGGCCTCATCCATCCCCAGCAAGGATGCTGTCAGTTCAGGGTCGGATGTATAGGCAATGAGAAGGATACCTGCAGAGTTTTGAAGACTCTCCTTCCTGCAAGCCTGCTGCCAGATGGTAGTGAAATTTCGCCCCAGATTTCTTTCCTTAATTTCTCAACCTCTGTTACCAGCTATGTGTCAAATTGTTATTTAGTAATGAAGTCCTTTGGGCATTTTACTTTTTTAAAGGTGCTCTATAAATTCAAGTCCCCAATTTTAAAAAAATGTGCTGTTACTACTTGGTGAGCATATATTCTTGAACCTAACAAGGTAGCTTTCTCATTTACAATTTATATAACAGCTGTCTGAAAAGCTTGTCTTGGTAAGTTCAGCTGCAGCCCTGTTGGGAGTGGGTCTATGAGGTGCTGGTGGGAGCAGGAAGTTGCAAAGATGAAGAGGTATGGAAATAAACTATAGCAAACAGTTCAATGTAGGCAAGTGTGTGCGCGTCTACTTTGGACCCAAGAAAAATAATTTTGGGACTAAGTAGACAAACTAGTAAAATGTAATCTCAGTTCTGAAGAAGGTCACTGGAACTGAGACGTTGACTCTGATTTCTCGCTACAGATGCTGCCAGATCTGCTGAAGTTTTCCAGCACTTTCTGTTTTTGTTTGTGAGTAAAATCTAATGTACAAGTACAAAAAGTAATTGAAAAGGGCTGGTTGGAATAATATAAAAATGGGAAGAATCTATGCATCATTATGTTTAGAGCTCTGGTTAGACCTATCTGAAGCATGGTGCTAAGTTTGGGCACTGCATCATAAGAAGAATATATTGGCCCTGGAGAGGTGCAGCATAGATTCATCACAATGATACCGGAAGTCAAAAGTTGAAATTATGCAAAGTGGTTGTCAACTTCGATTATATCTATTTCCTATGGTACAAAAGTTGGAACGGCATTTAAAATATTAAAAGGATGTTATCAGGCTGATAGGTCCTCTGGTGGGGGAATCAAGAGCACATGAACATAATATCAAAATTAGTGCTAGACCACATGATGATTAATGGCACTCAACAGTTGCACTCTTGTCTTTAATAACTTTATTAACAACTTTATCTCAATAACTTTAACACACCCCCAAATAAATTGTTGATACTGGAGTAACTGGAGATTTCAACACAAAGATAGATAGATTTTCATTGGCTAAAGCTATCGATGGGTAGGAGAAAAGGAAGAAATACTAGAGGGGGAGTGAAATGTAATAATCTAACATTCAAATCAGCACTCAAAGTTTTAATAATCCACAATAAACCAGGAATGACTGGTATTGAGTAACTAAGTAACTTTATGGGAACATGTTACAAACTGTGAATTTTTTAATTAAGACTCTCGTTCTGAGGAGAACATAGTGTATATGTCTGTATAGACCTATGAAACCTAAATGTTGTAATGGAAGGTATTTTTGTGCAGACTACTGTCTTACAGTTTTATATTCTTCTTGTTTGTAAAATCTTTGATCAGAATTTGGTAATTCATGTAGAATGGCAATACCTGTTTCCCTCCCAGTGTCAGCAGGTTGCACGTACTTCAATGTTATGGACATACTCAAGTGTGAAGGGAATTTTCCACAGCACATCTGTTCAGTTTGTTTTTAGCATACGAACAAATGAGAGGCACTAGTGAGGTACAAGGTCAAACCTGAGGAGCCAACTCATCAGTGGATGAATCTCCATGGGACAGGGAGTGATGGGTAGGGGTGGGATAACTGATTATCATCACAAAGAGTAGGAATGTCTCTCCGAGAGATTAACTAGTAGCAATAAGCAATGATCCATCTATAATATAATTTCAAGGTCGTGACTATTTGACAAAGGTTTGCCCTTTTCCTCCCAAACCTTTAGCTCAGATTTGCCCAAACTATAAATCACAAATCACATTCGCAATCAGCCTAGACATATATAACTTGGTTAGTGTATTTCGAAGGGTTCCATGGCTAGCTAATTTGTTCTTTTAATGTTAGAGAAATACTCACAGTAGATCCAATTGTCTGTACCTAATGAACTGGTCATCAATGAGGGTTGTGATGTTGTTGTGCATTAGCTTCCTAGATTGAGGCAGCGAACAGAAAATATTAAAACAGCTTCGGTTTTCTGTGATAAGACACATATAACAACAATGAATTCTTACAGTGAAGTTGTCCTCCTCCCTCTGGAAAGACCTCAGTGGATCTCTCTCCCACTGCAACCCTCTGCCACCTACCTTCCCCAGCCCTACCTCTCCTCTCTCAATTTATTTCCTAGCTTCCTTTCCCCTCCCCATTTCTGAAGAAGGGTCACAACCCAAAACGTCAACTTTCCTGCTCCACTGATGCTGCCTGGACTACTGTGGTCCTCCAGCTCCGCACTGTGTTGTCTTTGCATAAACTAGTTGCTCCCAGAAATTAATAAGTATTCCTCTTGGAATAAAGCTGGGCTGCAAGGTTGACCTGTGAGCTTCCAAACAAATGACTGAACAATTGAGGAAAAACAGAGGAAGAAGTGATCTCAGCTGAAGCCCATATCTGCACAAGGTGTTCCTGCCTGAACTTCAGTGAGGAACAATGCAGAAGACTTCTGCATTTCAATCTGGGCATCTTCACTAAAATCTGCCATTCACTGCAGGCACAATTCCAACCCCAAAGCAAGGTAAGAACTACTTTGCCAATAGCTGCAAAGGTTACCAGGACAATCAACCTTTGCTCATCTGGCCCCTTCTAGGATGGAATCAATGATATTTGCAATATCTTGTAGCTCGTCAATTCTATTCTGTGAGGTTCCTTAATCAAAGACAGTTACCTTCATTTCATTCTCTCTTGCCAGAGACAAATGGATGAAAAGAGTTGTAATTTTGCTTGGATTGTAGGCTCTCCCATGATGTAGGCTGTCATTGACTGCATGCATTGTTTTGCAGGCACCGGATGCGAAGTTTATACCATACTGGAACCAAAAGAATTCTACTCCATCAAAGCCCAGCTGGTTTGTGACAATTAACAGTGAATCGAGCGGGTCAGTCATTTGCCAACGATCACAAACCCTTCAGTGAGCAATTAGGAATGGGCAAACGTCAGCTTTTCCAGTGACACCCACGTCTCATGAAAAGATAAAAATAAACTCTGACTTGGATAACTAGGGTGAATTCACTGCCAGGTTATCAAGTGGACAAAATTCCATCCCAATACACATCCAGAACTAACCTTTTTATTATTCCTTCGTGGGATGTAGGGATCACTGGCAAGACCAGCATCCCTAATTGGCCAGAGGGCAGCTCAATGTCAACCACATCACTGTGGGTCAGGAATCACATATAAACCAGACCATGTAAGGACAACAGTTTCCTTCCCTAAAGGGCATTAGTGCATCAGATGGATTTTTCCTGACAATCAGCAATAGTTTCATGGTCATCACTAGGCTCCTAATTGCAGAGATTTTCCTGACTTCAAATTCCACCATTTGTCATGGCTGGGTTCAAACTTAGGTTCCCAGAACATTATCAGGGTCTTTGGATTAATAGTTTAGCAATAATACCACCAGGCCATCACTCCCCATTCCTGGAGGATCAATTCTATGTTTTCCATTGTACATTCCAGTAAGAATACCCAACATAAATACTCTGGGGGAGGCAATGACCTTATGGTATCATCATTGGATTGTTAATCCAGAGACCCAGATAATGTCTTGGGGACCTAGGTTCAAATCCTGCCATGGCAGATGGTAGAACTTGATTTCAATAAAAAATATCTGGTATTAAGAATCTAATGATGACCATAAATCCATTCTCGATTGTCAGAAAAACCCATCTGGTTCACTAATGTCCTTTACGGAAGGAAACTGCCATCCTTACCTGGTCTGGCCTACATGTGATTCCAGACCCACAGCAATGTGGTTGGCTCTGAACAATTAGGCATTTAGGCAATTAGGGATGGGCAATAAATGCTGCCTAGCCAGCAATGCCCTCACCCCATGAATGAATAAAGAAAAAAAAAATCTCTGGAATTACTTTGTCTTTAATATCAATTTTCTTTATAGAAATTATCTCTCTCTGATCACTGGGGGAAAAGCCACTAAAAAAACTGCAGGAGGAATGAGGTTGTCACTTTATTTATGGCATCTCTTCCAAGATCTTTGGAGATCAAAGTGTTTTTAGCATAGGCTTTCTTCAGATGTGGATAGATTACACCTGGTTTTCTGGACTCAATAGGTAAATTATTTCTTACATTGTCAGAGAGAAAACCATAGGGAAGTATAAAGGTCTGGACATTAGATGGGAAAACTGCTTTTCAAAAAAAGAACACTAAAGTCTGTTTGATGTGGATATCAGCTGTTGATTGTGTTACTAAGAGGGAGGAATGGTCAAGTCACTTACAGTTTTATTACATTGGCAGAAACTGATGGCACAGTGATAAGCCCAGCGTCTTCACAGGTAACTATAAAACCTGCACATGTACATCTCTTTGGGTACACATTGAGCCCTGGAATGAAAAGTAAGATTGTCAATGAGTTAAAAGTTAACAAATGTTATACAGTATCATAAAGGTATGGGTTAGGACTTTGTTAGTTTGGAGGAAACTTTCTCTACATGTAGTGAGAGATGCAATACTGGGAATTGGAATTTTTTAATTCAGGAATTTAAAGTCCTGGTTATAATGCTGTGTGTGACTGGAATTTCTTGGCAACAGATTAAGCTATTTTTCAAATAGGAGACATCAA